TCAGTTACAAAGTTCGTCAAAAATTTTGCGAAATATTAAAATTTTAAGCAAAACTTTGCGAGATTAATTTCGAAATTTTCGAAGTTGACAATGCCAGCAGCAGTGTCAGGTAAGAACAAATTGAGAAAAACAAGCGCATTAATGTATAATATGTCGAAAAAAAAAGAAAAACTGCAATTTCATGCGAGAAAATTTTCGAAATTTTCGAAATTGGCTATTCCATAGACAGTGTCGGGGAAGAATATTTCTCCCATCTTTTCTCTTAAATTTTCGAAGACCTAGAGTTAAGTTGCAATAGTCCCGCAGTACCGTCCACCCTTAATATGTATGTATTTTTCGTGAAATTCATATATTTTTACATAAGAAAATATTCTGAAATTTCGAAAAATTATTTAAAAAAAAAAAACAGTTATCGATTTCAATTGGGATCTGCGTTTTTTTTTTTAGTGTACTACACAGCTGTGAAAATTTTGGTTCACTTATGAAATAATAGAAACCGTGAACGATACTTTCAATGCATGCAATTAACTACAAAAACTGCTGTGATTAGGGGCGTCATAAAGTTTAACATGAGCCTATAAGCTTTTACGATCACAACTGTCGACAGTTCTGTCCGCAAAAATCGGTTCATCGTAAATGGAATGGAGACGCATTTTGTTTTTTTTTTTTTTTATCTGGTCAAAGGCTGTTTACATAGAAATATTCTAAAAAAAACTGGGTTTACTAGCAGTTCAATAACTGTCAAAAATATTAGTCAAATGCTTTTTGCTACTGCAATAGCAATATATCAAGACTATGTTTGTTTTTACATAAAAAATGCGGACCTGGACTCTCATTCGACCCGGTACTATCACAACATTCGTTCATTTAGTTCTTCTAAAGTACGCAACTAAGGTTCAATTTTACAATTCAATCGCACTTACGATTTTGCGCGACTAATCGCAAAAATAACTGTTACATTCGTACATTTGTACATACATTACATAAGTATGTACTACAATTATGTAAATGTTGTGACGCCTCTGTTTGCAGCTGACGAACTGCACGCCGGTAATGGTAAATTTATTGCAAATGTAGACTGCTAAACGGGCAAGCAATTCTTGTAACAACAAAGTAACGTCTATTTTTCTCGTGTACTAATGCATACAGTAACACCAACAAATATATTATACATACATATTTAAATAAATAAATTAATGCATATATACATATATATATATATTTTAATTAATCGACTTTGAATGCATAACATTAAGTGTTTACAATTTACGATCTTCAAATCATTCTCTATACATATATTATTATTGATGTATAAATGATAATTGTATGAAGATATAAAATAAACTTAAAAAAATATATAAAAATAAAATGAAAAATGCAATGTTTAACTTCAATTAAAATATAACTAAAACGAGAAGAAAAATTAGTTTTATTTAAGGAAGCGTATAATGACGCTGACTTTTGTTTTTAACAGTTAAATTTCAAAGTATTTTAAAAATATAAAACTTTTCCTATTTATATAATTTTGCATTTCTTCATTTGGTTTGTTTTTATTATTTTTTATCCGTTCCGACTACTACAAGTATATGCTGCATTTAAAATTTATGATTGCCTTGGTCAATAATCCATGCCAAATTTAGTGAAGATATCTCGTCAAATGAAAGACTTTTACATACAAGAACTTACAATAATTCCGATCGTTTAGTTTATATGTCAGGTATATGTTATAGTGATCTGATATCGGCGGTTCCAACAAATGAGAAGCTTCTTGAAGTGAAAAGAATGTGTGCACAATTTCTGATCGATATCTCAAAAGCTGAGGGACTAGTTCACGTATATACAGACAGACGGACAGACGTGTATATTTTATAGTGTGCCCGACGTTTCCCTCTGGGTATTACAAACTTCGTGGAAAACTTTATAGAAGCTGTTCAAAGTATGCAAATATAAAGATTACGCATTTTTTTCATAAAGTTTACCTTACCAAAATATTCTATATAAAATTGAAGGACAGGTTTCAGCTAACTCTTTAAAAAAAATAAAAATAAAAAAATTTATCAAAAAAAAAATACGAAAAAATTAAAATATTTTGAAAAATCTAGAAGTGATAGAAAAAATCGGTCAACGTAAATTCAGAGTAACAAAACCTTCATAATTATGTTTTTTAAGAAATCTCGATTAATCACAGAGACAATAATAGAATTTGCATTTCGCAAAAAGTCTTTATTCGTTATAACGCTTCCTATATACTCTATCAAAAGTACCATAATTGATAATAGCTGGAATGCAATACAAAAACTACTAATCCAGTGAAATTACGTCGGTGGATTGGAAAAATTTCTCAAATACCTTTTATATATGCTTAAAATATTTTCTTACTCATTTATTTGAGTTCAATTTTCAAGAAAATTTATTTGAGAAAAAAAATTTCAAAACAGAAGTATCAAGTCGCTGCCGAGTGTCGAATGTTTTTCCGCGTACTTTACTTTGATATTTCATTTCTTAAAATGTTTTTTAGATCCTTTTCCGTGTTGCCTCCGATAAATTAGATCTTATTGAGGTCGCTGAAGAATAAACCTCTTAGGTTAACAGCCAAAAGAAGTAGTCATATGTAAGCAGTATAGGCACTAAATAATCCGTTTTGTTATTAATAAGTACGCCCGGAAGCATTAGACCAATGCCAATTTATTGCGTAAGAATTTCATTCCTGTTCTATAACTTACGCAATATCAGTTTAATTGACTCCAAAATTGAAAACTAACGAACTTATCGACTCTTCAAATCTTTTTCAACAGTACCCTAACTGTAGACTCTTAGCTTAGATTTTTTGCATGATGGCGAAATTAATGTTTCCAAAACTGGAGACTACTACAGTTCTCAACTTAAACTCAAATATAATATGATTCGTAAAATGTTAGGAAAAATTTGAAATTGCTCCAACTGAATATTTAAAAATAGATATGACAATTAGTATTAAAGATTTTTTTCCACACAAAAAGTTAGAATACGATTTTTCAACTCGTGTTAGAAGTAATTATATAGCAGAGGCGCACAACATCTCTTATGGAAAGGCTCAACACATTGAGATGTTTAGGTCCATGAAAGTTTTTTTTTTTTTCAAAACGAACCCCTCCCAAACGAAAAAGAAACAAAAGTGGTAACCTAACTGCCTATACTTAAATTTTGCTCTTGTTGTATATGTATAATGTTGATGTATGCCTTGTTCGATACGCCACTCTGCAAGTATACCACTACTAAAAAGATAGGAATGCTAATAATTTTAACATTAACATTATTGTAACATATGTGTTGTACCAAATCAACACGCAACATCAATTCGAGCACAACATTTGGACATTTAAACGAATAAATGCGTTCTTATGTAAAACTACCATGTTTTGCTACCCGTTAACAATTCGTCAGCTGTCAAGTAAAACTTAAGCACTCAGCCCGCAGGCACTCGCAAATTCTTCGAGCTTGCATTTATTTTTTATAATATTATACTACCTTATTTTAATATGGACTTGTAACCACAGGGAACATACAAAAGTATTCACAAAACATTTGTAAACTGCTGCAACGGCAAATGTGCAAAATTATAAGAAGAAAAAATAACTCATCTGTTCATCATTAAAGTGTAATTTATAAAAGCTTTGACTTTCGAAATAAAAAAAATAAAAACGGCAACAATAAAATGTGCGGTGTGTGTGTGGCGGCTGACGAAAGATGACCAAACCATGTATAAGCGGTCATTGTCTGAGCGCATGCGTACGTTATACTCTACATATGTATGTATATGTACAGGGAAGGCGCTCTGGGTTTGGTTATTCATTCATTAATTTTTCAGAGCAGCTGCCGTTCAAATGTAATGTACGTGTGTGTTTTGTTTTAACGTCAAGTAGGCAGAAGTTGTGGTCGTGTATTTTGAATGACTGACACTTTGCGGTTAAACGCTGGCGACTGTGGATCTTATGTGTCTATAGATATATACATACATACATATATAAATATGTGTGTTTTTCAATATAGTAAGTATTTATGTAATATGTCGTAAACATATACATACATATATAATAGATATCATTCAAATATTCATAAATGGCTGATGGATTCAAAGGTTCGCCTTCAGATTTCAAGTCCATCTATGAATTTTCTTTTTGGTAAACTTTCGAAAATACAAAAATTTTTTAAACATAGTTTGTCTCAGTCGACAATATATTATAGTTAAATATTGTATATATAATTAAAAAACAAATAACAAACACATATACATACGTATATGTATGTATTTCATTTAGTCGTACATGGTTCCAATAATGTAATTATATACAAAAGCATGTATATATTCATAAATATATTAGTAAACATATTGACCACCAAATTTTTAAACATATTGCAACACCAAATCTTACAGAGTGACGAATCGAATAAGCAGCTGGCATACATCATACACATAAGTACTGACATGATACGAGTTATAACGGAAGAGAGTGAGTAAGAAATGAGGTATTCATATAGTTTCTTGTGTTGAACTCAACTGTATAACTTTATTGTAGCTTCTATATATAAATTTTGTTACGAATAAGGAGAGGTCAAAAACATGAACAAATAATGGAAAATTAAAAACAAAGGCTTCTTAAAAACATGTAGTTTTTGTAGCGATGTAAAAAATATATAATAAAGCTATCTATTTCTATAAAATAATTAGTTTCGAAGGGACACGGAGGAACAGATGAATTTACGTATATATAAATGTGAAATTAATTTGTAAGAGCCTTTATATCATGGAAAGAGCATTGGCTATTTGTGTTGCGAATACATTTCTGAGGGCATATAAACCAACAAAGTTTTCAAAAGTTATCAGCAACTGAGAAGTAGAATCTAGAAGCTGCACCAAATGCCAATCACTTTTTAAAGAACTAGTAGTAATCTAGTTGAAAAACATTTTCTAATCTAGAACTCTGCAATATATACTATTGGTGTGATATTTTTCTTAAAAATAACTTTTTATTAAAACTGTTTTTCTAAACTAGAAATTGAATTATTAAATATATACCTACACTACTACTACTGACAATAATCTGAGATGTATTTAGGAAATTACAAATCTTGCAGAATTTTGTGCGGAACAAATATTTACACTATTTACTAAATAAAAATATATTATTATTAAATATAAATCATAAATATGTATTATATAAACACCTATGTATGTATGTATGTACAAGGGGCACAACTAATATGATCACTTAAAAAAGGCTTTTTTCAAGGTAGTCTGGTAACTTATGCCTATTTTCATGACTTCTTTGGAGGGTGGTTTTTTATAGGAAAATAAAAATTAATTATCTTGAATATTTAGAGTGCTTTTATTTACATATTGAAAATATAAAAAAAAAATTTGTTTGGAAAATTTTAATAGTTTATTACTCTTATTATTGTCGCGCGAAGCTGGAACCTCAAAAAAAATGCACGTGGGTGGCCCGGGTGATTTTGGCTTTTGATGTTATATGAAATGAAATATTCTTGATTATTCTCAATCTATAGACATGTCATACTGGTCGGAACTACTGAAGTTAAATTTCAAGGGTAAATACCAAAAATGCGTACTTTGAAAAAAAAGTCCTTTTATTTTAGCAAAGAAAGGGTTGTAAACTAAAAAGTTAGAGGTGAAAAAAATTCTCGTTAGTACTGACGAGAACTGTAAGTGTGTAGAACAGCCTTTAAAAGCAATCGGTTCAGTAGAAAAAAATCGATATTCTCTAAATATATGTATCTCTCTTGTAAAAAGTAACTGAAACTGTCTCATTTGTATTATTCAAAAAACAAAAAAGAAAAAGAAAACCTCGGGAAAGTTAAGAGGTGAAAAAACGACTTTTATTTTGGAGTTGCCGCCATTCCATGATTCCACTTTTTTTTAATCTTACGATAATGTCTTTTATATTAATCAAGAATCTATCATTGTTTTATTTTGAGAAATGATCACAGGAGTAGAAATTGTTACGACAATGGCGCAGCTTTTTTTTCCAATTTATTCTGTGTACGAATAAACAAATCATAAAAAATAAATAGTAAATATATCAATTACTTTCTTTCTAACAACTGCCAAAAAAAAACACACGAAATTCCGGCATCTAGACTAGAAAAAGTCCCCCTTATTAATAAGCACAGAACAAAATTTAATATCACACTCTCCCAAACTTTTAACACCGTCATCTTTTAAAAAATGTTTTTATTTCAGTTTTCTTTTCTTTAAACAAATATTGTATATATCGTCTTCACGTCACGTTGGTTATGCCAAAATCTGCAGGCCGGGACTAGTGCAATTTGAGAGACTATAACAAAGACAAATTAAGCACCAGGCACGACCTACGCAAAATGACACAATAATATGATAATAGTAGACGAGCGAAGCAGGAAAAGTGGCAAATGTGCATTATATGACTTCAACGCTTGCGAGAATAAGATGTTAATAACAGTCGTAAAGTTGAATAAAGTCAATCCCGCTACTCCAACCACGAGGCACAACAATCACCAGCCGCCGAAATGCCGTCTGCCATTTCGTTATTATCACAAATTACGATAATTTTTATTTTAGTTTTCTTATTTCTTACACACAAATGTACTTTAGTATCCACTATAGCAGCCGAGGGCGCCGCCAAAGCATTCTGACAATTAATTTATTAAAATGTGAATGTGGCGAACTACCGTTGGCGCGTTTCCAGCAGACCGTTGAGATGACGACAAAGTGTGGTAGTGACTGGAGAAATTAATCGCTTGCAAAAAATAAAAGCAAAATGTACAAATAAAAAAAAAACGAAAATATAAATATAAGCAGATGCATTCCAAAAGCGCTAGCGGCATTTCTAGAATCTGCATTCTACCATTAACACACCTGTAGTTAGTTAGTAGTGTATACACATGCGTTGGTAAATATTTTTTTTAGGTTACACACATAAGTATGTATATAGTTAAATGAGAATTTTAGTTCGCAAAAGGATGTCATATTTAAAAGTGCAAAACCATTCTCATTATTGGTTGGAGTTTTGAGTCGCGGTGATTCAATTGTTGGGAAAGCCTCAAATTAAGAAATCGAGGTGTGAGCACAGCAGCTAAAACTGTATTTTAGCGAAAAACCCGATTTTTTCTGGAGTTAAAAAAAAAATTTATAATTATTTTTCGAAGTCAGTATACATTTTTTTGTTTGTAAATAAATTATTAGCACTTACCGCTTGCTTGCACGTTTCCCAGACTATTTATAACCTCAAAAGCGTAAAATATGAAAAGAAAAAAAAAAGTTTTGAACAATAAAACTTTATAGCGATTAAAATTAAAGATTAAATTAGAATAATTAAAAAATACAATTAGAAAAGATATCATGTGATCAATTATTTTAAAAAAATTCAATAATATCTATTAATAGTATATTATACTTACTTTTCATTTTATTCTACATTTTTCTTGCCTTAAAATTTTTTCAAACACAATAATAAATAATTTCGTTGAAATAGAATTTATGTGCAATAAGAATTTAAGTACAATAAGACCCTTTCAGATATATTTTGCTCTTGCAAAATAATAGGTTTACCCAATTGTCCTGGGAACGACCTTGTTGCTGTCGTAGTGACTTGAAATATTCCGCAAATAATTGTGTATGTTAACGAACCTTACATGTACATAAATAAATGTCGGTTACAAACCATAGCCACACGTTTGTGAAATCGTAATACCAATGAAATTTATGAACAGATTCTATAGTAAAACCATAAGCACCATATGCTAAACAAAAGTAATTTATAAAATTATTACTAAATGTCATCGTACTTTTTAAGATCTTTAACATTTGAATTAAATTTTAATTTTTAGTCCCAAATACTGGCGTAAAAATTAAATTTAAAAAAATGTAATACCAAATATGGGCTTGAGTACTTCGTGTTTTACCATTTTGAACTAGAGCTCGCATGGAGCCATCACGTTCAATACTCTAGAGCACAGGTCGCCTAATTTACACATTCAAACTATTTATGTGTATATTCTATATTATCAATTTTTAAATCAGATTATATATTAAATTTTCAAAATTTTGGATGAAAAATTACAATATTTTGGATTAAAAATTAGAAAATTAGCTTTAAAGATTTTTAATTCCAACATCATAACAAATTTAATTTTTAATCCACAATTTTTGAATAGTAAATTCGCAACCCTACATGTAATGACAAAAAATCTTCGTTTTAATTTTTTCCATAAAAAAAAAACTAAATATTATGTAACACTAACCTTACATCGCGGGAACGAACGTTTAAGACAAGTTGTATGCATATCAGTTGTCCTTAAAGCCTTTGAGCCACTTACTATATAAACACAACTTTTGAGTTAATGGTTGAAATAACTTTAAAAGAAAAAAGCAATAACTTTCGACAAAGACGCGAAACCCACAGCTTCCAATACAAATTATTCACATTTTTAAAAGCACATGCGGAAAACTTTATTCAATACACAAGCGTTTCGCAAAATATTATAGTATAGTATATGAAATAACTAAAACAATACATTATAGGAAAACACAAGACAGTCAGTTCATTAAAAAAAATTATAGTATTAAGTAAAACTAAATAATGTATATATGTATTTTATTAAATGTGTATGCAGCAGTATATTCAAACACCATTCACTGCTTCACCAACGCTGCCGTTCATTTGCTGAAATTGTTGTGTAGCAGACAGCGTTAATGGCGGCTGAATCGCACTTGGTTGCACTAGCACTTGTGCGCTCTTCTCTTTACTGTCCAACAGCACGCGCACCACCTCCGAAGTGAACTTCTCTACCAGTTGCAGTGCGCGAGTCGCGGGTAACTCCAACAGCGAGGCAGATACGAATTCACCAAAAGCGGCATACTTCTGTTCGGAATTGCTTAAACAACGACGATTGATTTGTAAATTGTAAGCTGAACGTGCTGGCGCCAATGTATGCTGCTGTTGCTGCTGCAGCTCCTTTCGTTGGCAACCAGCATTGTTTGTATTGTTGTTGTCATTGTTATGGCTGGTATTGAATGTATTATGCGGAATGTTTGTACGCGATTGTGAATGCACGCCAATACCAACACCGGCAGCAGTGCGTTCTTGCATTGTATCCAAGCGGCGTATTTTGATTGATGGCGGTTGCAGTGGTGCAGGTGAGGCGGAGTATTGCAATGCACGTTTATTTAAGGCGCCCAGCGACGATGACGCCGCAGCATGATGGCTTCTACTGTATGGCGATCTGGAATGTGGCTGACGTTGTTGCATGCTAAGCAATGTCGAAGCGGCGCTTAGCTTTAACGGATGCGCGCTTCGGGTGTCGTCTCCGCTCTGACTAGCGCTAAAAAAAAAAAATATAAATACACATATTGTTATTATTATTAATGCAGAGGACTAGTGAAAGTGTTATTACGATTCTTCATCGGCGGCATTTGCATCATCTGCATCAGGTTCCTCCATTTTAACGGCTAATAGGCCATTAGCGAATGTTGACATATCGGCGTTGCTGTGGTTGCCACCACCATCGCTTAATGAATCACGATTGCCAGTTGTCACTGCAGTTGAATTTAGCGGTTGTTGCTGTTGTTGTTGCAGATATTGTTCCGACTGTTGCTGACGACTACTTGGCTGTTGTTCATCATCATCGTCACCGGTGTCCGCAAGTGATGTACGCGGTTGCATGCTTTTGTACGAGCGACGCGGTCGTATGTGTTCAGAGAGGAAATGCAAATGTTGAAACAGCGGCCATGGTGATTCAACATTCTGACCAGGATTCTCATCACGTAATTGCTCGAGACGACGCTTCTCCAGATTGTAGCGATTGCGCAGCTGGAGCATACGATCCTTCAGCAAGGACACTAAGAACAAAAAAAAATAACAAATTTACTTTTATTATATATTATTTGTCTTTGGTGAAGTGATATAGAGGAGGCAGGTGCAACTGGTAGACGCATATAACTGTTATGTCAGCGTTAACTGTTGTATATAAACAAACACAACAATTATACAGATGTATATATTGTAAGTTCATCTACTACCATTAATAGCTATTCAAATGAAAAAGACCGTATGATATGTATGTACCCCAATCTAACTAACAACAACAACTTAAAGCGGAAAATTTTGTTTATAAACGATTTTTGTTCACAATTTTCATATATTATTTTGTTTCTATTGTTTCTGATTTGCTTGTATTGTTGTTGTCATGCGCACAGCAATATCACAATAAACAACTCAATAGAAGCTTTACTAATTATTGACCGCATCAATGCTTCCGTTCGGCAAGTTTTTTGAGTTATTTTCTTTATAGAACTGTAGTGTTTTTGCTCTCTTCCGGCTCTCACTACCACAATCTCTTCAATTTATTTTACTGTATATACTTATTAAATCATTAATAAGTACTTGTATAGTATTGTAATTGAATTTTTTAATAAATTAAGAGTGATTTAGATGTATTTAATAAAAACCCGTACATATGTATGTATGTGTTTACAAATAAGAAAAAAATTAATTCAATTTAAACAAAAAAAAAAGTTGTAGTGAACAAAAATTAATAGAACCTTCTAAATCCGTCAATATTATAGCATATACATATGTATGTATATAGATGATAAAAGCAAAGTAAGAAAGTGTTGCACTAAAACACACACTACTGCATTTATCTTAAATGAATTCAAATAATTATATTACCACCACCACTATCATGCCAACACTGCATTTTAACTACTAATTACTCACCATCAAAGCCCAATTTGTTGGAAATTTCCTGCCATTGATGCGCTGTATGCAGTTTGTCCTTGAAACTGGCTGAATTGCGGTCATAGAAGCCAGGACGAGCACGAAATTCTCGTATGAGACTCAAATCGAATTCGCCTGTTGGCGCATAGCCACGACCACGTTTAGACGGTTGCGGATAATCATAATTTACGTAGTCCACGGTGTTCGCGTTGTTGTGTTGAATCGCGTTGTTGTCTATTGGTTCTGTGAAGAGAGGCAATGACAAAATTAAGTTTACATCATTCGACATTTCGTTTATTTATTTCAATGTTATATAAATAAATACATTCATACATATGTATGTGCATATGCAACCATTAATCTCAAATTTCCGAGATGATTAAAACAAAATATTCCATTCGATGTTCGATCGAGCTGAAGTTAAAGTAAATATCAATGACTAGTCAAACATGCAGGCATTTCATAGTCTTTTATGTAATCAATTAGAAAATTATTAAGACACAGTAGGGTTAAAATTTTTTTTGTCCTAAAAATATCTCAAGAATGTTGTGTTTAAATTTTAGTCGACTGGAGCATATGAGTATATTATACTGATGTTTTCAAAGTCGGTGCCACTCGTAACACCAAAACTACTACACCGATCGTTTTGAATTTTTGAACACTATTTCTATACATAATGATCAAGGATCAAGTGGCATATATTAAAATATTAGATGAGATGATATTAAATGATGAAATAACATTTATATAGTTATACCTACAAAATAATGACCCTAAACCCCGGTTGGCCCGGGACAGTCCGGATTCCGAGTTAAGCGTTCCGGACTTTCCGGACTAACAAAAAGAAAAAAAAATTAATTGTTGCTCTCTCACCTTTTATATGTTGCGATTTTTAGTGAATTATAATATGGAAAAAATCGAAGACTAAAAAAACCGTCTCGGATTTTGCCGGAAAAATATGGTCACCTAACCCTAAACATACCGGGTCAACGGAGATTAGGTTCTGCCTTAGTCTGTTGTCTCCTAATCAACTACATAAAAAACCTTAAGATCGATAGGAAAAAGTGTTACGGAACAAAAACCAACCAAATCGAGAGTTAAAGGTGTGCAACCATTTTAGCTTACAGTTTTTAAAAATTTTCTTACTACATATATTACTTCTATTTATGTATATATATGTGGAACTAGTTTCTAAATTTATTTAACATAAACTGTAATATATTTTGTTTACCTGCAATCGAAATATATGGACTATGCAAATATTTATACATTAGTGAAATATTTGAGCAAAAATTTTGCGACAAAAAAATTATTTTTTTTTACTTGAAAATTCAAAGATTCGTTTCGTTCATGAATCACACCTATTTTTATATATATTTATATATTACAAATTGGCATGGGTATTCATAAATACTACAATAAATATTCCAAAATTAAAGAAGTTTATGCGTTAAGTGCTGACATGAATACCCATTTATTATTTGAAGTGTTACTCTAAGTCTTTAGTTTTGGTGAGATTAAATTCACTCCTTGAATTAAGTACTTAACTTGCAATTTTTTCTCAATAACGTTTAGCTTATTTACTGTCAGATAAGTTTGAACGCGCCAGTATATACCGAGTATTTACCATATATAATAAATAATAACGATAGATATACTATGTATGTTTATGCACACAGACGAAAAAGTGTCTAATCCATGTACAATATGTATATGCATGTATTTGTATTTATATGTAACTATTTTTATAAATACTTAAATAACTATACACAATCATTTTTATTAATCAAACATATCATCATGTTTATTATAGGTAAATATGTATTTGTGTATACACAATTACACATACATATGCACATATATGCATATTTTTATTGCCAGCGAGTGAAACTAGCGCAAAATTCATGAAATTCACTAAAACTTTAACCGTGGAAACTATTTTGCAATACTTTTGATTACTTTGTACAATTGTTCACAGTTTTATAATACCAATTTAATACATAGATTTGTTTTCATTTGCATTGTTTATTTCTATGGTTTTTATTTATCACAATTACGGATTGTTAATTTTTTCGTGACGTCTAATTACGATTTTATTTTTTACACATTTTTCTTTGTACATACATACATACATACATACATATGCATAAATACTTAATATTTGCATTTGCTTTAAGCTATCTTTTGTGGTAAAGCAGCGATGAAAACTTTCGATATTCCAGAATATTACGAAAAGCAAACACTACAAACAATTCCTAAATATTGCAGTCGTTTTCTTAATTGCTCGCTGAACTCAGCAAATTAACTTAAACCGCGAAGTTGAGTGTTTTATGCAGCAAGTTTATACTATACTTACAACAACAACAAAAATGCAAACAAACGTGAAAAAATCGAAATAGTGTTAAATTTAATATCAAGCAGCGATACGAAATTATTTATATTTTCTCTTGTTTTTGTTTTTTTGTAGTTTAATTTAAATTCATAAGTTAATAGTAGTGGCAACAAAACGCAAGCATTGAGGATAAACCACCAACACCATGCCATGGCGCTTCGTAAATTTGAGCCGACGCTCTCACGCTCTTTTTTTATCATAAATACGCGTGTGCTCGCGTAAGCTCTATTTGGGGTTTGCTCGTGCTTTTATGTATGTTTTTCTCTGGTTTGCCGCAAAGCTTCAGTAGTTTAACGGCAAATGAATGACGGTTGCTCTCGTATTCTTATTAAATTTTAATCACCCCAACCTCACAAGTTGGTGTTGTATACCCGCATGGTTGAGAATGTGCACGTTCGCTCTCACACTCTCTCCCTTCGTTTTATACTCTCAGTTTGCACGTTCGTGCCGCCGTACGTACTGCGCAAAGTTGAAGAACAAAAAATTAAATATTTTTCTACTTGCACAATAATATGTACAACTGATTTAACGTTAAAAAAAACTATTTAATATTTGCTGGCCGCTGCTGTTTATATTTCATATTATTTATAAAATCAAAAAAAGCTTTCAACTTTAAATGAAATATGAAAAATAATTGTAAATTTACTGTATTATTGTGTTTTTCGGAATTTCGTCGGCATTTTATTACATTGAAAGTTTTTAAGATGGCAAATGTTTTATAATAACGCGTATTGATTATATTAAATATTTTTTATATGTATAAAAAATAGTGTGCACATGGCAATGTAAGCGTGTACGTACGTACCATATACTTATAAAATATATGTGAACGTGTTTGCTTATTATTTATGCATACATATATATGTACATATGTATTTATGAACGTAAATATATTTTTTAATTTATTAGAGGCAGCTCCTCGGTCATCGCACTACCCCTCCGCTTACCAACTTTCATGGCATAAAAATCCATGTTATCTGTGCTACACAGCGCGCCGTGCGGCCTATCGCTTGTATGTCTATTGTGAATTGTACTATATTTTTTACATGTCGACTTTTTCAACTTAAACTAAATATTTACATATGCTTGCATGCATTTATTTATATACATATATATTAATTACTTATGCATGCTTGTAAAAATATTTTAAGTACAATAAATAAATACTTACCAATTTGGTTGTCCATTTAAATGACAATTTTGATTTTCACAATTAAACAATATGCGCAAAAATAAATATTTTTTTATTTTAAAAATTTTCTACGCATAAAAATGCACGTCAAAAAATCGATTTTTAGCCAACTACTTTTTTTTTAATTTGTATTTTCTCTTCTTTCTTTTAAATATATACGAATTTCATAAATAAAATAAATTTAAAATTTAAAATATTGTTTGTCGTTCGGCATTTAACCCGTTCTCCGCTGCTAACACAACAAACGACCGCACACAACGACAATAATTTTAAAACTAAAATATGAAATTTTATTATTTTGCTTTAACACTTACGCTGCTCGCACACACATCATGTTACGCTTAAATATAATGAAAATGTAAAAATGACGAGCGAAGGCAACAGAAGAAAATATATAAATTTATAATGGTAATTCACATGTATAAGTTTTTCGAATATTTGTAATGGCATAAAAAGACGAAGGCGCGCTCACGCCGAACATGATAATAACAAAATGCAGAATACACATACATAGAAGCATACAGAAGAGTGAAAAACTAAAGTAGGGAGAGTACAGCTGCTCTTCATTTGGTTCATACTCACAGCAAGCTCTCACTAAAAACTTGTACGCTGCTGTTGTGCTACATTCTCTTTGGTGGCAAGTCATAAAACAGAAAACAGAGTCTTGAAACATACCGGTTTTGCGTCTTGTGTTGCGACTCTGTATATGCAACATTAGTAATTTGCTATTTAGCCCAATTGACAAAAATTAAATGGTCTAACTTTTAACGAAATTAAGCGCGTTTTTGACACATTTTATAATAAAAAAATTTGGCAAATCTTATCATAAACTAATGATCGGAACATTTGTTTCAATACCGTAAATTTTTACAATAATAAATATATATAAATTTTGCTATTTCGATTTTTTTTAAAAATGCTACCAGAGGAAAATACTCTTATGCGTCGCTTTTATATAGAGTTTATAACAAAATAGCGAAAACTTATTATTTTATAAACTAAAGTGTGCATTACGAAATCATTTCGCGACTGCAATCATAGTTTAATAGTTTATTATAAAGATGCGTATGATTTAAAGGAGTACTGATCCAAGCTGACAACTATTATTATTATTATTTTTTTTTTTTTTGTGAAAGCAAAATATGGCAACGAAATGATAGTTTCAACGCTGTCAAATAAAGACAAATAATATTAGAATCACCTAAAAATTCATTAGTACATATATTGAAACCCGAAAAAGTAATAACAAATAGAAATTTCGACGCTTCAGAACTTTTAGGCACTTTTTATGGATTTTTGAATTTTATTTTCTTTTACTTTTTGAGAGTTAATGAACCTAAGCACCAAAAACAATGGAGTCGTAAAGAAGCATGTTAAAATTATTGCAAATATCTATGAAAAATTATACACCAGTTAATTTTTATATTCCTTTTTTCAAACATATGTATATATGCAAGTGCAATATATTGAAAAATTGTTTAAAGAATTGCAAAAGCTGTACTCTGTAATGTACATGCCTTGAATAAAATTAATGAATTTAAATTAAATGGCTTGCTGGGCTTCTCTGTTGCAGCAGCTCTCCCTAATTACTTTAAATAGCAGTTGCGAAAATACATAACTATAGCTATATTTACATAAATGCACATCGTAAATACACGCAGACATATTTATGTAGTGGCAAGATAAAGAAAATAAAAAAATAATAAGAACTTCGTTTCAGAACGTTTAAAAAAAAGTGCGACAAAAGCAAATTGCTCGTATTATTGGAGATTTCAAAAAAGAACCCATGTATATATGCACAAAGCAATAAATTGTTGCAAATATGCATACAGGATACACATGAACCGTTACAAACTTACATATGCCTCTGTAAAACTATGTTTTTTATTAATAATCTCGCTTTTACAAAAAATTGTGCAAATGTAATTAAATGAATGCACAAATCAATTATTTACTCATATACTTATACTCTTGTTTTTATATTTATTTAATTTAATTTTTTGTTTAAATATGTGCCTGATAATTTTCTATTATATTTTCGTATTTCCGCTTTTTAACTCTCTTCACACACACACACTGAAGTGGCCATATAACACGCTCTTAGTATCGCTCTCGCATCTATGGTAAGTATTACGCTCTTTCGATATCTAAGATATTTTATTTACTATTAAGTATTTACTTTTATGTTTTAATTTAATATGTACAAAATGTGGATAGAGAAAATTTTCTTTGCTATAGAAAAAAAAATATTAATAATAAAAAAAAATATGAAATAAATGAGAAAGCGGACAGCAAAATCGATAAAGAAGGTGAATATCTTATGGGGGCGCTATTTTTAATTGGTATGTGTAAGTATGTCAATCTGTAATTATTTTTAATTGAATATTTGAAAAATATGCATACATATGCAAGTATGTGCCGATGTTTATTTGTTAATAATTTAATGAAATAGAAAGATTTTTAAATCGACCAAGTTTTCAAAAGTGAAAAATATACTATATTTTGAAGAGTTATATGTATGTATGATACACCTTTTCAAATTTCAAACTGTTTTAATGCATAAAATAAAAAATAATAATAAATGTGTATTTTTTATATGTATATGTACATCTTAAATTGACCTAAAGGAAGAAATAATAATAAAAGGATAATAGTATATAATCAATATGATCGAAGATTGTTGCGATGCCTTGGATAATAATCTGTGCCAAATTTTCTATAGATACCTTGTTGTGTGTGTGCAGATCGATATCTCAAAATCTGAGGGACTTTAACCCAGCTCGTCAAGCTGATTATTTATATACACATAATATGTACCATATATACTCTATAGGATTTCCCGACGTTTCTTTTTGGGTGTTACAAACTACGTGGCACACTTAATATACCCTCTTCAGGATATAACAAATACCAAAAAAACCGCTTTAATTTTTTAGACATTTTTTATCTCTATAATGATATGTATATAATTGCTTCGCATTTTCGCATTTGAGAGTCCTCAATACCACTTACCTGTTTGGACGTTGCTAACCAAATCATTTTTGTCAGAAAATATAAAATTTTCAAAAACTATGAACAGAAAACTCTAAATTCTGTTACTATTAAAGATTAGTGCTTCAATTTTCAAATATAGAGACGTACGCTTTGGCTGTTTCATTCAAATCTGTAAGATAGAAAAAAAATGGTAATTAGAATTAGACTTGATAAAATGCTTTGCACATTAACTACTAATAAAACGGCATGCAAATTGAATAAAAATGCATATTAACAGAATTAAATGTTCCCTGAGTTTCAATAAAGTACCTCACATCACATACCGTCACCAAAATATAATATAAAATCAACTGGATATTTAAAAATTTTGTAATTAGTTATATGGGAGCTAGAGCAAGTTTTTACCCGTATATGCTGTATAAAGTCACCCGAAAGTTCGAAAATCTTTATACTAGGAATATTTCATGTTTTTTTTTGTCATTCAGACATACTATAAGGAAAGCAATTTCTTCGAATTTCAATTATATACTCCTCACATTAGGCCTTGGGGTCCACATATTCCTATACCTAGGGGCTTGAACAGTTTTGGTTCGATTTGAACAATCTTTGTTTATGAGGTGGCACACTTTAAAGCGACTATTCGTGCAAAGTTTTATTAATTGGTGCTTTATTTATATACTGGAATGTGAAAGAATTTTAAATTGATTTATATACGTAGTACTGTAAATATTTATAATAATTTTGTTTAATGCTAAGTTACCGAGCTTAGAAATACTAAGCTATATCGCTAAAATTGAATTTTTACTTATCGTAAATATCGATTTATTCACATATGAATTTTGGAACTTATTTTAGTTAGATAAGTACAACCAGAAATTGTATATCAAAAACGCTGAAATAATTTAGAGAAACTAGATTTAGACGATATACTCATTTTATTTTAAAATTAATCGAATTGAAACTAAATATTTAACTCAGTTGACGGCATAAACAAAAATTGTAAGTATCCTAAATGTATGCTTCGATTTGAATGTGATATTTCAGTGTAGGAGTGTTAGTATTAACTTAGAACAAATTATTGTGCATATATATTTTTGTATGTAATAATATTCTAGGCATTTCTTTAAATTTCGGTTGCATAGATACATATATACTATGCACTTTGATGAGTACTTATATACTATATATACATATATAATCTTGCTATATATAAATAATACACACCATAAATATCGATTTGTTTCCACATTTGTATTTACATCAATAACAGTTGAAGACACTTGTTGCTCATGTAAACCGCACATAGGCCGGGACAAGTGCAATATTAGCTTAAAATACAATATAAAACATTGTCACTTTCCCGCCCTGCGTGCAATTCCATGATACCTCGATGCGTGTATACTTAATGAAACGGAATATTTAATGTCTCCGTTGAGTGTAAGCTTCTTCCTTAAGCTACAGCTGCAGACATATTTATACCCTGAACAGAATATATTAAATTCGTCATTAAATTTGTAACACACAGAAGAAAACGTCGGAGACCCTATAAAATATATGTCCGCCTGTCTGTATATACGCAACTAGTCCTTAAGTTTCCGAGATATCGAACTGGAAATTCACACGTCCTTTTCTATACAAGAAGCTGCTCATTTGTTCACTATAGTATATAGCTGCCATACCAACTGAACGATCAAGGTCAAGTTCTTGTATGGCAAACTTTTTTATTTGACGAAATTTGACATGTATTATTGTACAAAAGAACACTACAAAACCTCCGAAGAAATTGTTCAGATCGGGTCACTATAGCATTTAGCTGCCATACCAACTGAACGATCAAAATTTAGTTCTTGTATGAAAACTTTCTTTATTTGTGAAGGGTATTATAGCGTCGATGCAACCGAAGTTAACGTTCTTCTTGTTTTATATGCCTTTAATGCACATTTCAGTGCATAATTATCATTTTGTGTATAAATAAAATGCATATATTGTTTTCGAACAATTTCGAATGAGTACAAGAAAATCTAGTTCTCATTTTTCATTTAAAAAAATCTGATTGCCGCATAAGTATTGAATTTCCGCCTTCGCATATGTACTTGTATTTATGCATGTACGTGCGTTGAGCATCCTTTGCAGCACAATGAAAATACAACAAAAACAAAATGCATGTATCCTGCCAGACTGCGCTCGTGCATTCTTCCACCTCCGCTGTTAACGGTAAGATAATGTGCCAACGCCAATTGAGTTCCTCACATACCATCTACACATAGAACTTATGCAGACAAATAGCTTCAACAAGTGAACCATTAAAATCCTATATAATAAACCACATACAAAGACACAAAAAATTTGGCTCTATGTCTGGCATAAAAATTTGGCAAGGTAGTAAGTAACACTATGTGGTCTGAGTCGGCGGTAACGTCTCCTCCTCCTCCACCACGCCCTTCTCATTTTTACGCTTATTTCGGCTTGTTGCACACTTGCCATGTACATACATATTTAAATGTTTATGTATACACTAGTAGCTGTGCATATGTTTGTTCTGCTCCTTCCACGGTGTCTGTCTCTTCGATCCCATCGATTTTTTGCACATTTTACCTTGACGATTACCTCCTTCAGCGAAGGACTGTTCATCTTCAATATCTGCACACACAAGTGAACTACATACATACATCTATATACAATATATACACATGTGTGTAGGTGCATTTGTATAGCGCTCTTTTAGTTTAGTGCTTTTGCTCTACTCCAGTTGCTGTCTGTTGTCGGCTGTTTATACCTTTTCGTGCTTCTCAAACAAATGATGCGGAAAATGCTTTTATTGTCCAAGTATTATATGTCAATATGTTCTGTTGTTTTTATTTTATTTTGGCGTATTAAATAATGGTACAAGCTGTTGGGTCTACACTTCAGTAGTGCTGGTTACCTGAGATTGGTCTGAAGGTTCAGCATGAAACGCACAAAGAATTTTTTTTTACTTAAAATGTGCCACTGAAAACGAAGCGGCATCGATCAAGCCGATCTTTGCACACATACATACATCTAGTGTATGTTCACTGCTGGTTCGTGGTACCACTGCAGGTATATCTTGTTATTGCTATAACAATTTGGAATAAACACATACAATATAAATTTGCTCCAAATACAGCATTTAGTCGTATTCAAGTTCAGATAATTTGATCCTTGCAAAATGTGTCTGTACAGTTACGTATAAAATAATAAGACCACCTGGCATGCAAATATTTATTACTAACTGAATGCAGTTTTCCAGCTCTGTATCAAGATCAATTATTGAAATAAAATACAAAACGAACGATTCAGAACTCGAAAAGAATCACGTGGTTATTGTTGTTGTGCCAAGGATATGAACAAAGTATTAGAATAAATTTTTTAATGTAAAATTTAAATATTATAAAATTAATACACGTTTTTGTTATACAGTTTTATTATTTAACAAAAGTCGAGTCGAATATAGTGTTCAGATCGGACCACTACAGTATATAGCTGGAATATAAACTGATCAAACAACATCAATTTATTGTATGGAAAACTTTTTTAAATGACAAATTATCTACACCAAATTTAACATAGATTATTATCCAAAGCAACGCTACAATCTCTAAACATATTTTTCAGGTCGAAAACGTAGTATACAGCTACCACTCATACCATAGTTGCCATAAGAAATGCACCTGTGAAGAATATTATAGCTTTTTCAATGTCTCAAAAGAAAAAATGAAAAAAAAAATCCTAAATAAACAAAAATGTTCTTTCCTCAATGAGATTATTACATTTTATAAGATTTTTGAGGAAAAAACTTTATACATAGATCCACAAAAAAAGTTAACGAAAATTATACTCTTAAATTTAAATAAACTTAATATAAGTAATTAAATATATGCGAAGTAGCAAATCTTCGGTTTACATACATATGCATGTATGTATGTAGATAGAGATGGATATATCAACTAACGCAGTAAAATCTCACACAGCAACCAAAAATAAACATATACATACATACATATAGGGATATTTATGTATGTATTTACAAACCAAATAAACAAAAGACAACTGAAATCTAAACTTTTGAAAAGCTTTGCATTGCGCGGCATTTCTTCATGTAAACAAAATGACAAGAGGCACACAAATTAAAGCGTTAAAATACAAAACATTTTAGTTTATAGTCATCCGTTGAGTTTGTGGAATAAAAGGAAGTTGTCAACAGTGCACATTTGACGACAGCCCACCACTACATACTTATGCATATACCATTTTACAAGTAAAGCAAATTTCGAATTTTAACTGCGATGAGCCACGAATACTCCCAACGAAGCAGTTAAACAATTCTAAGAAATAATGATATCCAATCGTAAATTGATCATCAATCCGGCGCTGGAGCTGAGCTGAAGAAGTAATCTGATAATAAGATGAAAAAAAAACAAAACAAAGAAGTAAAACACAGAAATTTGTAGGATAAAAGGGCTGACACCGCGTCAAAGTGTTTAATGAAAAGAAAAAGTACGTAAACTAAAACACGGGTATTTTTTATAATGATGCCAGCCAGAAGTGGTCAATCGAACAAGCAACTAACGTTAATATGTAGAATAACTTACAACAAATAGGTAAAGATTAGAAGGATTCATCATTGATGACATATCCATCAGAGGGTTGGTATTGAAATCACCTGGACTACTGTGTTATTGCTTTTGTTTTATATTTTACATTAAGAGAGCTAAGTTGAAACAGCGCGAGCAGAAAAGTGACGAACCGAAAACGGCGTATTGTATTTATATTTCTTATGCAACAAATCATAAAAATCGTTATCAAAGGTTTGTAAACAATTTTGGTACTTAAAATTAGGGGACTACAGGTAAATACATTTTTGGCACGCGTACATGTGTATGTACGTACAACAAAAGTGCTTGAGTGTAGTTTTATCAGTGTTTTTCTACCCAAAGGCGTTGCAGCTGACGATATGAGGAAGCGTCTAAGGTAAATAATTGACGTGCGACAATATTAAGATAAAGATACATACAAATCTAACTACGCACATATATACATAAGTATATATTCCAAAAAGTTAATATCGTTTCTCGGCAGAATATTAATATGCGTGTAGTGCTTAAGGTAATATACGATAGATAGCACACTAACTATAAGATTTTGAGCAAAGATATTACGAAATAATTATTAGTAAAAACTAATGTAATATTTATACAAAAGAATAACTTATATTCATTTAAATTTAAAATATTTCAGTATTTTTATCTTTCAATAAAAAAAGTAATTCTATCATATGTACAATCTATTAACAGTTATTATAGCCATTTGCGCAAAGTTTATATTCTCTCTCTCTGCAAATAACCGTTTAAATTTGAATGAATGACTTAACCCTCAATTTTTGCGCTATGTAATGGAATACAAAATATAAAAACCATATTCAAAAAGTCTTTCAGTTATACTTTTTAGAAGTTAGAATATTGTAATATTGAACGTATGTATTTCCATTTTGTAAAATGTGAAACTAATTTATTTTTTTTGTTGTTTTCTTCAAAACTTATTTAAAAGTTCGAAAATAAAAATTAATTTTGCAAATAAACGGTATTCATTAAAAATTTATAAAACTAAAAAGTCCCACTTGAACAAATTAAGTTATATTTTTCCAGCTGAAATGCAACATAAATACAAAACCGCAAAAAAGAAAATCAATTTTTTACATTTCACTAATAAAACAATTTTTTTATCATTGCAATATATGTACACAACTGCATACATACAAATGGTATTTAACACCTGAGTTAAATTTATGTTTGTATCATAAATATTAATATTAAAAAAAAATAAAAAATACACAAATAAAAACAATAGAATATAGTAAAAATTAATTAAAAATAAGTAAAATATAATAAACTGTAAAGTAAAAATAAAATATTAAACAAAAAAAATAGCTAACAAACTAGCAATTGTTACGGTCTTAATTTTTTCAATAGAGAATAAATAAAGTTATGCCATAATTACCACATCCAATATAAAAAAGAATGATTACATGTATCACAAAACAAAAGCACAATCATTAGGAATCAAGGAACTCTTGCGATGCACAGAGAAAATATCAAACAGCCAAACAAAAGCACTATGAAAAAACTCGATTGCCAAAGCACACTCGTGCTCCACTACACCACTTCGGTGATGGCAATGACAGCGCCGGACAACAACGATAATAGTAATAGCATGGTGATACTACAAAAATAAAAATCGATGATGCAATCGCAACTAGACAATCGAGAAAACCCGCTCGACGGTGGTACAACGCCACTGTGGGACAACACACGCCTCAACATCACCACAATAACACATTATGCCATAATCTTGCTGGTAAAAACTCGTAGGAATATGTTAAATGTGCCCCAGTAAAAGCAACAAGCTGTAACATAAGCTGTCCAGCAGCGGGACAACAACAACTGAAAAGGTGTAATCAACTATTGATTGTGAACACAACAGCCAGCGAAAAGGAGCAAAATACACGATGCCACCACAATCTAGTTGCAACGCATGCATACATATGTACGACGATGGACGATAATGGTAACAGCTGCAACAGCTGTGCAGCTGAGGCAAAAACTAGAGGCGAGAACCGGCCTTGCAGCAGCAGCAGCAAATCGGTGGCTGCTCGGACAAATGTTGCGAGTACATACATATGTTCCTACATATAGTGGCCGAGTTAAGTGGGTAGATATGGCGTACCAACTGCTGACTGTGCGGAAAACTACAAATACTGCAGCCAAAGCGAAGTTGTTGCGAAATTAACGATTGCTACAAAATGCAATACATGCACACAACTAAAACTGTAACGGTGATTTCGCTATATATTTTAACATCCTGTGTGTAGGCCAGACAGTGTGTGAGTGAATATACGCCGCCCTCCACTTTCTAGCGCACATGCACGCGCGCTAACAGCTCTCTATGGGTGTTTGCCTTCTTCTATGTATTCGCGGCAGGAAACCAGTTTTGCACCTTTTCTCTAGTCGCTCTTTCAATGTTATGTTGATATGGTTCTTTTTTACCGTTCACTGCACCTTTCCGGGTGGTGCAGTAGCGTAGCATTTGGCCTAGAGACAGTTATATGTAAAACAGCATCAGCAGCAACAACAACAGCTGTAAGACTGCAAATTTTAACACCATTAGAGGTGCAGATAGTTCTTCTCATGTGTAGCAAGGAGTGTTGCGCGTTTTTGCGCATGCGTGGCACATTGGCATGCTAGCTATAATAGCCACCTAGTTGCTCCGTTGGTTGGTTGCTTGCTTATCTGTAACTGCGCTCCATTTTTCGCTTCCTTCTTTCAAATATGCTACACACATCTACATGCAACTACAATATTTAGAGGCTGTCTGGCACTGTTCGAGATTTTGCTGCACCTCCTTCGAACAATAAAATGTAACTGTAAAGTAAAATGAAATGAATATGCCTTTTCACTAATTTACCACAAATCTCGCATTGAGCGGTGCACAAATGCATGCACACATTCATACATACACATTAGAATGTATATGATGCGAATGAGTGGCTATGGCGAAATGTAATTAAGTCAGTCTTTACAAATACACTGATACAGATATATGAAGTGCACTTCATATTTTCTATAGGTAATATCATTCCAAAAATATATTAAACTTATATCTTTGGACCCGCACCAGGTACTTCAAGAAATATTAGTTATCGCTTAGTTGTGATTCCTTCGACTCTCTATCTGTCTACAGCAAGTCGAGACCTTTCTTTTTAACTATGATATATTTGTGATGGTTGTTGATCGCGTACCAGGTTTATAGATCACGGTTTTTAACAAGGGTCTAGCCATCTCGGCAACGAAAGAAATATTAAAGGCGCTCTTCAAAAGACAGCTGCAATGCCGATGAGCTAGTCAGAGGAGACATCCTTGCCACGCTCACATCGGCATCGGATAGATCTGCTGTCTAGCACTGGACCAATGGTCTTCGCATACGTGTAGCAGGTGCTGGTCGACGACAAAATCCTGTGCGACTCCGAGATCCTTTTGGCCTAGATTAGAAGACGCTGGTTATCTATTGAACTATTTGCCAACTATTTTGCAAAGTTCATCTTGCCGCAATTGTAGAAGCTCTTACTGGACACTGTCAATAGGCATTAATGCGGTAAGGCTAAACATTTTGTCGGACGCTAGTTGTATGGAGGAGACTGAAGTGAAAACATCCAGGAACTTTCTCCTCCATTGTACAACCTTTGAAAGACTGAGGCTGAAACATCTCGATAGTCTTACCTTCGGCGAACAAAAAAAGGAGGAGTTTTTAATTACAACAGACTGACGTTCTAAGCTGTCCTAAGCGAGATTCCTCGTAGAATCGATCTCTTGCTCTAACCTAACCTCCTCAAAAAGATATAAAGATTGTATCAAAGACTTACAAAGTCACTGTGCTTGGCCGGATGGGAAGAATCTTGAGGGATGATACATTTGAAGCGCAATTGATGCTGTTTTCGATGAATGATTATAGCAAAGGTAAAAGCTTTTATTTAATTTCATACAAGAAAAAAAAACAATACATAATTCTAACAGAGCAGATTTCCGACGTCTTGTTTATTTGACCATCAAAAAATTCATTTTTGTTTTTTGCTTTTTGGAATGGCCAGGATTGTCTTCAAGATTATTAGATATAAAGGAATATGCAGTGGATCTGTGCAATACTGGGTAGACAAAGATAGTAATTATTTAAAAACTTACGATGAAGAGATGATTATTAGTAATTGTAACGAACTTTTGAACGCTAAATCGTCCAGAATACACTGGCTTTAGCAAGTTATTTTTAGTCTTTTATGGAAAACCTTAATATATAATATAGAAGACTAGTTTTGGAACACAAAAGCAATGAAATTGAACCAGTTCGGGAGTAGTGCTTCACATTGAAGGAGCTTAAGTAACGTACTAGCCCTTGTTGGCGTACTGTAAAAAACCTTGCTTAGCAACATAATACAAAAAATACACGAATTTCGTATTGTTGGAAAAAAAAACCGTGGTAATCTTTTCTTTTAAAGGTACCAATTAATGGAATAATTTCTCAAGCTTAACTGTGTTGGCCTGCTCCATTCATTTATAAATCGACAAATATGCAGAAAAAAAAAACCTAAAATTTAATTCGCGGAAAAAAGGCAATAAAGCGACGGCACAAACGGACTACCTGCAAAAGCAGCAGCATAATCAATAGCACAGTCTCATCCATATATTTCATTATTGAGTTGAAAAATTTGAAGAGTTTGGTTTGTATGCCAAGATCAGATCAAACCATTTACTAAAGGCCACGCACGCATCAAATCTAGAGTTTTGAAGGCTTTACCATGATCTAAACATACCGGAGGAAGAATAAATAAATCTTGATATAAAAATAAGCTTACTTATAAACACACACTCTTCCATCGTTACTCATTTCCCCCCACAATTTAGGTACATTAATTTGAGCGTAAAATGCTTAACAGCGTCATAGGAAGCCGCCGAGGCAAGCTTTCTGCAAGCAGACAGGGAAAGACCAGTAAATTCAATTTGAAGCTATGAGCCACAGTAAACAGACAAAGTAGTACACAGCAACAATGTGGTTTATTGAAGATAAGCTAATTATGTTGGCGCTTAAGTTCAAATGAATACAAGAGAGCACATATGCACGTGTGTAGATCGGCAGCGGATATGAAATGACAATAATTTTAAAATTTGATTTATTCATAAGTGAACGACATTTAATGAGCTACAATTAAAACATTGCACAGTTATATCGTTCGTTCAGTAGCTTGTGTGATTTTTATACCCTAAACGGGGTATATTAAGTTTGCCACAAAGTTTGTAACAACCAATGATGAGGCAAGCAGATTTAGCCATGTTCGTATGTGTGTATGTATATACGCGTACTAGCCCTTAGTTTTTTGAGATATCGATCTGAAATGTTGCAAATGTCCTTTTCCAATAATCTCCTGAATTGTTGGAACCGCCGATATCGCACCACTATAGCATATAGAAAACTAATAGATCAAGTCCAATCCTTGTATGAAAACTTTTTTGCTTTTTTTGCTTTGCTGTTTTTTTACAAGATATCTTCAGGTAATTTGGCACATATTATTATCTAAAGGCTGTATACAGCTGCCATTCAAACTAAACGATCAAAATAGAGATAATTATCTTCATAAAAGATATTTTTTTTTCTTTTTAGGTAATCTTGGTACCACTTGAAGGTATTTTATACCAAACAATGTATTCATCGTCCTCTATAATTTCGTTTTTTAACGGTCGTGTTAGACAAATTTAATCTTTCAGCAAACTCTCGAGTTGTTATTCGACGATTTGCATCGGCCAACGACTTTCATTTTATTTGCATCGACTTCAAGTCTTCCAGGACGTGGTGCATCTTCAATATCGAAATTGCCGGAACGAAATTTTGCAAACCAATTTTGGCATTAGCGTTCGGTCAACACATCTTCTTGGTACACATCACATAATTTCGCCTCGCTTGAACTGCATTTTTACCCTTTTGATAATAAAACTGTAAAATTTGCCGAAAATGCTGTTTTCGATCTTCCATCAGCGATAGGGCACCAAACAAAAACTATTCCAGAAATTTTTTTTACAAACAAGCCTTACTACATATATCAGCTATTCAAATATATAACGGTAAATCGGTTAAGTGTGAAGTTGGCTGCGAAAAAACTCAATAAGATCAGCTGTTGTCATCAAAAAGCTCAATAGCTAAAAAGAACTAGCAAAACGTTGTCCGTTGGATGCAAATCGTTGGTTTTTGTTTTCAGATTTAGTTATACATATACCTAGTTGCTATAAGAAATGATCCGTGAAGGGTATTACAGTTTCAGTATAGCCGAAGTTCTGTATACATATGTATTTTTGTTTCGCAAATGATATCGCTGATACTTAATAACACCAAACAACACCGTTTCTTTGAGTAAAATTCGCGACACATTTCTTTTAATGGAGTTCGTTTTACTAAATATACGTTGGCCCCTTCCTCATCCAAAAAAATATCAATACAACTATACCGCCAAACGAGTACATTTCTCTTTTTTTGCAGATGACTTACATACATATATATATATATATATATATGAATATATAAAATCGAGATTGCAAAATAAGTACCGCACAATCTTCATATAGCGTGCTGAGATCTGATGAAACTTTACTTTTTATTGTCGCCGGTGTTTGTGCGTAATAGAGCGGAAGTACTCTAAATAAAACTGGGACAAATAATTCAAATGCGATTTTTTTTCAGGCTTGAATTCTTGAGTACCAAACAGTTTTTGCAAATAATTTCTCTTAAACCTTTCCTGAAACTGTTTAGTAAATATAAATGATAGTGGTCTGCAATTCGTTAAAACTTCGATAGTAATTGGTATTCTACAAAAATACTGGCGTAGTCATATAGAAAGGCTTTTCAATTAAAAAAAAAATTGTGATATCCTGAAATGATTGATAAACGCATTATAGTGACCTTAAATTAAGCAGATTTCCTGCGATCACATACTAGTTAATTTAAGCAAAGAATATTTTTTAAAGAATTCTTTCCACATAAAAAAGGCGGCTACTATGATTGTAATTATAATCAATTAAGTATTTCAGATAATCAAAAATAAAAATAAACGCTATAATAAAACGTAGGCATACGATAATTCCGAGAAAATAACGTAAACATGTGCATACATAAATACTCAACTCCAAACGTAAAAGAAATTGCTGTTATGTTTGTGGTTTCGCTGCAGCAGTTGACTTGCTGCAGAAACGCATGTTTCACATGCCATCAATAGCTCACAGCCGACAGGCAGACAGAGGAGCCCATGGCTACAAGGACCCAGCAGAATGGCTAATGATAATGGTTCATCAACACTTTCGTCATTAACGTGTCATCTTTGATGTTTCGACATGAGGGCAAGTAAAAAGATAAAATTAAGAAACAAACCATGGCTTTATCACAAAAATGTGAAATAAAGAAGAAAAAATGTTAATTTCGGTTGCACCTAAGCTTTGATATCCTTCACAAATACAAAGGTTCCTTACAAGAACTTGATTTCAATCGTTCAATTAGTATGGCAGTAATATGATATAGTGATCTGATCAGAACAATTTCTCCGGATATTACATTGTTGCCTCAGACAATACCATGTGCCTAATTTTGTGAAGTTACCTCGTGAAATGAAAGATTTTTCCATACAAGCACTTGATTCCGATAGTTCAGTTAATATGGCAGCGATATGCTATAGTTATCCGATCGAAACAATTTCTTTAGAAATTGCATTATTGCCTTAAATAATAATCCATGCCAAATTTCGGGAATATACCTCGTCAAATAAAAGAGTTTTCCATAGAAGAACCTGATTCAGATTGTTCAGTTTGTATGGCAGTTCCGACAAATGAGCAGCTTCTTAGTGATCATTTATGCATGTATATATATTAGTTTCCGACGTTTTCTTTTGGGTGTTACAAACTTCGTGGCAAACTTTATATACCCTGTTTAGGGTATAATAAAGAAATAAATGTTTGGGATATTACTTCCTAAGTATTGCATATACTAAAGGGAAAGAAAAAGGAAAGATCATAAAAAAATTTGATATTGAATTTGCTTCATATTGTGTGTTCAGTGTTTAAAAATGCAAACGTATATATTTGGGGGATTACAGATCTAAAACTTTATTATTTATTTTGTTTATTTTTCCAAGAGGAAATGTTGATAAAATACGCAAGTACACTAGTACTTTACACGTACTTTATTTTTCGCATGCATTTTTCAATATTTAACCACTGTAAATACTACTCCATAATTAGTCGTGAAATTTCGTAATTCATATTGAGAACTAAAGACAAATAACGTCTTTAAATGCAGTTATGCAGCGAAATTGTTTTTTCTGCTAGTAATTTTAAATTTCTTTTATGACTATTCGTTGTTATACGAAACTAAAAAAATCGTCTTTCAATTAAAACTAAACCGATTAACTTCTTATAAAGAAATGCTTTAAAAAAAATTGAGTAGGAAAAATTTTATAAAGTTCCTATCGTTGGATAAAAATTCTTCAGATTTTATTTAATTTTCTAGATCATAGTGGGGACTCTGAATCGTTGGTGGCAAGCGGACTTCTGCTGCATAGTTCTAGGCAACCATTAATTTTCCTTTTTTGCATTGTACGAACGAATTTGGAACATGGTTTTGAGGATGGTGCTGACATTTAATTCCTTGGAACATTTTAACCCTCTCAAGATCTCACAAAAAGTTCATTTTATTCAGATTTCCAAAGCAATTGTGTTCTAAACGAAAATGTTTAAGTGTGCTGTTGATGTTATCGAAAGGTAAGTTTAGCAGAGAGGTTTCAACTGGAGACCGAAGGAATAAGATTTAAAAATCAATACTAAGATTTACAAGTTTTAGGAAATGCGCTTTCTCGAAAAAAACATTCAACTTCCGGTAAAGTAGGTCCCTCGACAGGTGGGTACTATTACCATATACAGCTCATTTTAGCGCTAAGCAAAAGTATTATGTAGTTCAGTTTTCACAGTTGGATTAATTTATGCAAATCAAACATTTGACACAGCCTGTAATATTTTGAATGACTCATTTGTAAAATTGCCAAACCAACAACAAATACGCAAAAATGCCACACAGCAGCCGTTTTTCATAACCTATACACTCTCTCCAACTGAACAACCCACTGAATTCAACTGCCAGCGCAACAAGCTTTTTGGTGACGAAGCCTTTATATTGGTCTATTTCCACTAGGTTTCTTGCTTTGGAGCATTTGCACGTGCGCCAAAAGCAGCAGCAAATGAATTTTGAGGGTGGTAAGCATTATGAGCCACATACTGTGCGTCTCTTTCGCCTCTTCCGTTTGAAGTGTGTACCCATACTATTACATTTTATTAAATTTCTGGTGCTTAAACATTTGTTAAAAATTTTATTTACTACGCAGCCGAGTTACATACAGAAGTGAAACGAGCTTAAGACTGTACAATTGGTATAAACATGCCACCCATTAATATATGTACATATGTAACTATGCATAATTATTAATAACGCAGTTTTCGAATATACAATCATAATGCCCATAGGCATTGTGACAATCACACATAAATAAACATACATATATACGTACTTACTTATATATGGAGAGAAGTTTGTGCTGCTCATTGCAAAGGGCGCGTTTTGTTTGATTACTTTTGATGCTTTTTTAAAGTCGATTGCGCCATTGAGTGTTTGCTTTCCCTAATTCATTTATTATTGCTGCGCAGTGTAGAGTTTCAAATGAGATTTCAGTTGATAAATTTTTCAAGTATAACTTATGTATGTGTAACACATGTACATACATATGTGCATAACATCGATTTACAGCAATGTATTTCAATATTTAATTTAACGTCAATGGGTTAAGATTTCTACCACTATACAGTATTTTTTTACCTTTGATCCGCCACGTTCTACTTCTTGATGCTAGATCCAGCATCAAATATATTTCTTTCAAAATTATGAAGCCTATCGTTATACTTTATGCCAGAGGATTGATCATAGTTCATCTCTATTCTGTACTTTTACGGCTGCTTACGAACTAGCGTTACATAATACATTATGATTGTAGAAACAGTCAGTTTTGAACAGCCGATATCACACTTCGAGTTTACTGCCTCTGCCAATGTTGTCAGTATTCAGGCCCATTGAATTCGTTTTTTCTGTTTTGTTGTTGCAGCGAGTACATAAGCGCTGGTTAGGAGGGGATATTGAAAAATCAACTGTCATCGAAGTCACTTAGCGATAGATCCGGACTATTTCGATGGGTGCGTTTGACAGGGCATTCAAAGAGGTGGCTATTGTCATGCGAGCACCGTTTACTTGCAAAACATACATGTGCTTAGTATGTCTGGCTCTATTCTGTATAAATCGGAGTTTAATCTACTACAATATTCAGAACGCATACAAGTTTTTCTGTATATTCATTCCTCAAACATTTACTTCAAGGATTTAACTATTAACCCTATTTGAACAACAGAACAAAATAAATTTGTAGCAGTAAATTAGCTCAATAAATTCTAGACTAAAATGCAGTCATAAAAGCTAACGGCGTTTTATTATTTAAAACTGAAATTGCTGGACACAAACATCTTCATATGTACATATGTATGTATAACGGAAGCGGGAGAATCAGCAACCACAGCAGTGTTAGAATCTGCAGCATCAGCAGTAACTTTAGGTTTGTAGCAGAAATACTGCAAGCTTTTTAATGTATTGCAAAAAACCTGAATTCGCAATATGTCATAGTTGGAATCTGCACCAATGCACTAGTAGAAGAAGCAGACCTGTTTTCATGAAAGAGGAAATTATAGACACATACGTATGTATGTGTGCTAATTTTTGACATAGTAAAAAAATGTAAGAGAACAGATAATCATCAGTGTTTGATCATGGCCATGACCATGATGCTTTCCCGGCATTCGTAACTACATATACATGTGTATATCGCCATGATAGCAATACAGTATGGAGAAGTCGCTAATATCATATGGAGACTGATGAATATGTGCCAGGACTTTGTGGTAAAACTTTCCGCTTAGCTTTCAATTAACTATTATTAATTACATTTTCAGGACTAGCCTAAGCAGTTTTGTGAGTAAATTATATATTGCTTAAAATTATTTTATTTTCATTTTAATAACTCCAAGTTGTAAATATTACATGTGCTCATTGACCAACTGGAAAATTGCTTAAACTTTATTTATTTTATAATTAACTTGAACATTATTGCGACAAAATGTTTGGTTAGAATTTCAAGGCGGCTAGAATTTAGTTTCACATTTTAAACTTAATTTCGTTCATTATAGTTGCTATATCGTTAAGTCAAGTATTTACATGCAATTACAAAGGATTTAAAAAAACAAAGATTTCCAGGTTTCATTTGTAAAGTCAGGTACTCACCCCTTATGTGGTCTCAAAATAGTATATTTCAAATTGTCTTGATCATGTACATACATAGACAAATTGCATACAGAAGAAAAATATTAACAAAGAATTGCCAAGTCCAACGAAATATTAATTCTTATTTTATAAAATCACGGGATAAACGAAAGTTTTGTTCTTTACTGATTTGTGTTGTTGTTAATGAACAGAATGTTGTTAACACTGTACGTTTCGTTCCAATTTCACGAAGTTTTTTTTTTGGTTTTTTTTGGCAATACGGAAAAACACTATTTGAAATCTTGCTGTTTGCAAAATACTGCAATATTATCATAAACAAAATAATATAACGGTCTATCAAAATTATTTTTTCAATAACTCACATACACAAATGCCATTTGCAGCGAAACTGATAAGGAATATGAACAAACACGTTACTGTACTAATAGATCCCACGCTACTGAAACTGTAAATTAATATGTTTCAATACAAAAAAAAAATCGTTACATCGTCAAATATTATAACACTTTATACCGTTTTATTACTTGACTTGTCGATTCAACCGGCTTCGCTGATGGAACTGATGGCAATACTTTTTCAAAGCGGATGAGTTATAGAAACTACCGTTCATTTCGATGGCGCGCGCACAAGTGATTCCTTCAGTGCTACAGATTCGCACAACGGCTATCTGTCTCCTGCTGATTCTACAAAAATGCTCCATCTAGCAGCTAGCTGCGACGTCAGACAACAACAATACACACGACAACTTCAACTCCTCAAAAATTTTTAACCAGAATGCCAACGAACAAATAGAAAAAAAGGAAAAACGTACAGCTACAAACGATAAGGAAAAAAGAGTAGCAGTCATATAGGTATGGCAGCAACAACAACATCGACAAGACAGGAAAACAATGACGACGTAAATAACTGCACTCAATGGAGACTAGGGCAGAGAACAGTTGCGTCGACGCTGTCTGAACCGATGTCGAACATGTTTGAAACGCATTAAGGGCACCAACAAAGCCAGCCACAGCGACTGATCAATACACATTAAGTGCATGTTCAGACTGGTACTCTTTTTTATCGCTCAAACCGGTTTTCCTTGGCGAGTGGACGATCAGGAGAGACAAAGGAACCACGCTTTCTACGCAAATATATAATATTCAAATGTGTATGAAAATATGCATAGCATAATAGAAATGTTTTTGAAACAGAGTGAATTACGATACAAATTAGGTTATCAATAATATTTTTGTGCAACGCGAACAAGAATTCGAGAATGTGATATGAAAGAAAATGCAGAAAATTGTGTGAACGCAATGAGTGACTCCAAAAGAGAATTTATCAATAATGAGCGACAAAAAGAGTCCTCGTCTGAACGTAGTCTAACAAGCATATTTTCATATGTTTACACATATTTATTGTGGGGAAGGAAGTTTACCCAAGATTATCATTTTTTTTAATTTGCCCAACTGCTTACAATAAATGTATGTATATAAATTATGGTTGCCACTGTTACCATTTTGTTTCTTACTAAAAAACGCCAAAAATTTGTTTAACTTGTTAACAATCGGATAGCCCCATTTTAAGGATGGGCGGCTAGTTACACTTTTTATTCTTGATGGAGTATTTTCATTAAATAATTAATAACTAACATTCTAATAAAACTGATCAATGTCCTGTGGAAAATATTTGATAAATTTCCCACGTTTCTAATTTTTGTTTTTAATTAGAATAATTATGGCAACACTAACATATAAGCATTTACTTATTTACTCGAAAATGTACGTACATATGTATACTTCATGCTTTGCAGCTGCCACCACAAAATGTTAAAAGTCTGTACAACTCTCTGTCATCATGGGGCTTACAACGAATTGCTCGCTGCCGGGAACTTTCGAAATAATAAATATATAAACACACACACAGATATAACTAGTCTAGAGCGTTGCAGTTGCGCAGACACCCCTAGCAATTTTTTTGTTCTCCGCCTTCCATTCCTTTACCGAATTTGGCGTTTACAGCATGTATGACTTGGCTTAGGTTTGATCGAGTTCGAGTTACAACAGTGTTGCCATTTCAATGTTTACGCATGTATGTAAGGATGTGTGCAACCAAATAGATTCAAAATACATTGTGCATACATACATATGAACTTTATACGTCAATTTTCAATTACAAAATAATAAGGAAGACCTATGACCAGATGCAACCAAATATTATTCATATCTGGAAGTAATAGAAAAGTAAAATTTCGTTTCACTCATTGCATTAATTTTCCGATCCTTGCTTGACTTTAACTTTTAAAGGTTTTGCTTTTCATTCCTCTAGTTCCGGTTTTTTTTCTACGTGGTAAAAGGCATTGTTTTTGTGGCAGTCCATGTTGTTAGCATGTTGTATAGTTTCCGTCCCATTTTCTGTTCAAAAGGATTACAATGCACTTCGCGGCCTATTTTTTAGAATTTTTCCGATCATTTTCAATTCACAAATCCAAGATTATTATTTATTTATTTATCATTAATGTTTCGCTATTTGACGTTTTAAGCAAATTTACCAAGCGCGTCCCTTTTATTTTTTCCATACGCAAAACACAGTCAACTTAAACAAAATAGCACTCGTGCAGTCATTTTAGAAATAATTGTCAAAAAGCGCAATAAACACAAAGTCCTATTATCAAGCATCGTTACATAGTAATACAATTTTTTTTGCTCGATTTTGAAATACATACTTATGTAAGTCGATGGGTTTACCCATATTAATTCTATCAGCAGTTTCAAAAGTGCTTGCTAAAATCTGTCAATAATTATAAATATTTGAACTCGTTAACTTCTGTTACCTACCTATGGAACATAACATCAGCACAAAAAGCATTTTCCCTAGATGGTCAAGAAAATAGAGTGAAGTTGCATAAGTTTACATCAAGGCGAAAGTTAGTGAATATGTTCAAAACATTATTAAAAATAACATAATAATACTCCTCATCGTTCCGAGATGTGTAAAAAAAAATACTCGAGGTCAAATGTTAGCGATTTTCAACGAAATTGTAAGTTGTATCAAAAAATTGTTTTACACTAAAATTGTACATCATAAAATAAATTATCTCTAATAAATATAATATTTCCCTAGTGCCAAGGTTCTGAGTACGCTCTGAGTACGCTATATCATAGGTGGCGTGGAAACGTGTGCATATTAAAACGATCATTATCAACACAGGAAACAACATGAGGAAGATCAATATATTGTACATGATGAGATTGCCAAAAGTGTCATCTGGCCACCGCACAAATACAGAAAATACGTAAGTTACTATAAACAATGCATAATAAAATTTCCGAAAGGGCTGACAGACGAATCAGGGTGAGACGAAATGCCTTAAGGACATGCAGGATCGTCAAGATCATGTGCAAGAGCCTCGAAAAAAATCAAGCATGTTTTTTCTCATAAGGTCGGTAGGACGGTTGTTGGTGTAATGACAGGTCACAACTTACTGGACGTCCTATCCGACAAATACTACAGCCCGAATTAAAATAAACCTTCATTTGGCATTACTAAGGACCAGTAGGTCTATGTTTTGGGTGACAGCCAGTATGACCTAAAGTAACCTATCCTAAAAATATCTCATTTTATTTAAACTTTGACCTCGAGTTTTTTCCACAAATAGGAACAATAAGTTTTAGGATGTTATTTTTAATCATGTTTTGAACATATTCCTTAACTCTCAGCTTGTAGTAAATTTATCTAACCATGAATGTCTATTTTGACCGGATTAAGAGTTTCTATGTTGAACCTATTTCACCTACCATTAACAATACAAAGCAGGAAGTTCAAATGCCTCAATGACAAAAACAAGCCAAAACCTTTTGGAATGCTGCGGAATTTAAAATACTTCTAATCGTTTATAAGTATTTTCATTGACTGCTTGGTCATGGCCTTGCCAGCCCGATTTTTATTTAAGAATCCACATCCGCATAAGTATTATTTATCCGTGTATGTACATATGTGTGTAGGTGTGTACCTAAATTTGTGCAGATAATTTTGGTCCTTGTATACTTAACTTACTGCGTTTCGCAGCTTGCGCTCGCCTACCTTTCTCATTTTATATGCAGCTTTTTGTACCGCTATTGTCGTTGAGTTCGTTCTATGTTTTCTAGCCCACGTGCAGCTTTTAGCATCATTATAAACAGACATATATCATATACAAATATATGTAGATGGTAGATGGTATATAGTATAATTAATTGGGGTTGAGTTGGGTCTAACCTTGAGTTTTCTCAAGCATCTTGGAAGGGTAGAAATTAACAACAAGAAATAGGGGTTGTTTTCTTCTTTTTTACATCCACATAACTTTGAATAGCTACGATGGAAATAATGCGTAGTAAATTTACGAACTTTCCCAATAAGTTTTTTTTTTATTAAATACGCAACATTATACATATGTATTTATGTACAATACTAACATTTGTACATACATATGTATACATATATATTAGCATATTTAAATAATTATTTATATACTCCAAAAAGTGGCATAAATTCAGAATCCTATCTCCACAACGCAATACACACACATATGTACATATACTTCTACATACTTTTGCGAAGATATGTTCATGCTTGATTTTTTATATGATATCTCTTTCTTTTGCATGAAAGTGTCATTAGAATCATCTCTAGGTTATCTTTGCATCGTTCACGATTCCTCTTTCAAACAAAGGTCTCGTACGAAAATTTAATATCTCAACTGTCGACATACAATGAGAAACTTCCTAACATAAAATCTATCGGATCCTACATTTATCAGATGATATTAAGACTCACAGCACAAACAGGAGAAAAAGTTCGACATAAAAAAGCATTCCAAGATGTGTATTTATTTTATGAATGTAAATTATGTAAATGATTTACTTAACACCTTGCGAAGCGTTGCATACTTTGAATAATTTTCGAGTTTTGTTCAGAAAGAGTTCCTTTCGTGAATATATTGTAATAACACAGCACTTTGCCAACCTTTCAATGTAATATGAGGTAATTGGGCTGGGAATTATCTAAGAGTGAGTCTATATAATAACTAATATATATGTATATATACATATAACTAAATTTAAACACGTAAACGGCTAACGGTTTGTATCTAACGAATACCGATTTGCTAGTTCTTTTTAGTTGGATGTAAGCAAATTTCAAGTCGAATTAAGTTTACCTAATAAGCACCAATATATATTTTTTTAAAGATTTTTATCTTGGTATTGATCTATCAGTTTGAATAACAGTTTTATTCCACAATGGTCTAAACTGAACAGTTTGTTCGGAGATTATAGCATTGTCTTGGTCAAGAAATCTTGCCAAATTTTGTAAAGATATCTTGTAAAATAAAAAAGTTTTTCATACAAGACGCTTTTGAGCGGTTCGTTTATATGACAGCTATGTACATACATATATGCTATAGTGGTCCGGTGTGAAAAAAATGTAGCATTGTCTTGGATAATAATCCATACCAAATTGTGTGAAGATATTTTGTCAAATAATAAAGTCTTTCATACAAGGATTTGATTTTGATAGATCACTTTGTGTGGCAACTAGAAATAGTGCTCCGATATTAGCGGTTCCGACAAATGAGCAGCTTCTTGGGGACTCAGAGCGACATCTCAAAAACTAATGATCTAGTTCGGATATACACAGACGGGCATGGCTAAATCGACTCAGCTCGTCATGCTGATTATTTATAAGGGTGTTGACATAATCGCCCAGCAGAGTCGGTAGTCCGAGCAACCATGGATCGGTTTCGCAACACGTTTACTCTAGTGAATAATGCGCAGTCTCAGAAACACCTTACAGTGTGCACCGATTACGCTATTGTTGATGTGTTGCAGAGTATCAAAGAAAACTCGAATGAGTCCAACTGCCATTGCGTACAGCAATTGGAGCTGTGCCCATCTAATTCATGGAATATTCTTGATTTCTGGAAGGACGTTTGGTCGAGAAGTCTCAAGTCGTGAGCGTGTGGCGTAGTGTCCACGATTGTGCGATTTAACACCGTTGCTGATATACGGCCCCAATTACTGCAAAAAGTGGTCGAAAATTAGGCCCCGAACCAACCGAGAACCCGAAATTGTTTTTAAAGCATAATGGTAAACGCTTATCTTTATAATAAAGCTAGAGCAAGGTAACTTGGACCAATGCTGTGTTTGTCATAAGTCATGTTGTTGCGAGTCAAAGCGAGCTACGGCGTGGCACCTCTGGCTTAGACTATCTTTTGAAGCGTGGACTTTGTGCAGTTTGACTCGACCCTGCTTCCCTTCATTGGAGAAATTCTTTAAATACTTAGAGTTAGGCAAATCATATAAAAGTGCTTAAGGTATTGGCGAGTTCAGTTGTGCCTAACAAGCTAGGGATTATCTTTAAATTGTTTACATATAAGTAAGTACATATGTACATAAGTCTGTGAATATATAAATACAATGCAAATCCAAATTTCTTATAACATTTACCTTCCGATTTTACATCCATATGTATGTATGTACATTTGTTAAAATATATTTTCTCACAGTTCACAACAATACAACAACCCCCATTTACCTATATAACAAGCAAACCACCAACTACCCCAATTTTCATAACAATAAAACGCAATTATTTTGGCATTTCATATCATTCAATTGAAATCACATACTTTGCGGCTCATATCTTCGATGCAACTAGTTTTCATTCAACTGGTGCGCAAAACAATAACGCACATACTTACGCACGTGCATGTCTACATACATAAGTACATACAAATAGGAATCGAAGGCTTTGCATGCTTAGATTTAGGAAGAACGCAATTTTATGAACTTTTAAGTGGGCAACTCTCTCACAACGTTGAAATAAATTCCAATATGAAGGAGCGATGCGTACATTTCGATCCAATGATCTCAGTCCTAAAAACATGCGTATATGTATACTATATACATACTTATGTATGG